TGGTCTGAGGCAGCAAGAAGGTACTGTACTCCTTGGATTCTGAAAGAAACTGAAATATTAGTACCAGGCCAGTGCCGTTTAGAGACCTGCTGAAGGCTATCTTCAGAACAAAGTAAAGTCCAGTGGGGCAGCTGTATCACAGGAGAGTCTGGAGCTGTGGAAGGGTCCAGCACTCAGTGATGAAGAATAAGATAGCCTCAGCTTTTGACCCTCAGGTTCTGTCTGCTCAGTTTGGGGCCAGGCGTTAATGGAAAAGACAGGTGTATCAGGTTCCACTGAGTGTTAATTGTATACTACTTCCCTTTGCGCTCCATGATTTTTGAAAGACTTTCTCATGATATTAAACCTCGCCATTTGAATTTGTTCACAGATACTTGGGCAAAAAATAGTATGAATTAATGAACTTTCCCATTTCTTCTGAGTTTAGATAGTATCATTAAGTTTCCCCAGGAACAGTTAACTCTGAGACTTTGATGGGATAAGGCAAGGTTGACAATCAAACTGGTAAATTAAGTTCAAACCATCTTGGAAAGTCTCTTGGCTGTCAGCCGGCTAGCTGGCCTATGCCAACAGCCCTCCTTCTTCCCACGTACACCTCTCCACTCAGCTTTCAGCAGAGACCGGCAGTGCTGAAGTTGGGTATGGTGGCACATGCCTGAGCTCCTGTGATCCCAGAATTCAGGAGGCTGAGGCAGGAAGACCACAAGTTCAAGGCCAGCCTAGGCCACATGGTAAGTTTGAGGCTAGCCTGGACTACACAGTGAGTCCCTGTCTCAAAAAATAAAAAACAAAAAGATTCTGCCCTTTATTAGCTCTGTGTCTTTTAAGGGGGTATTTAACACCTCCGAACCTTAGTACACATCTGTAAAGGAAGATAAATTGGATTATGAGCTGCCAATTCCAGTACCTAAGCAAAGTATTATCTCAGCATCATTCCTACTTGGTATCTATGACAGAACTCTCTAGACAGCCTCCCACATTCCTAGAAATGCATATTTTGCACAATTCATCCCCTCTGGAGTCTTCAGTATTGGACCTAGAGCTGTTCTGGCTCTGGTTTTCCCAGTGAGTAGCATGTACATCAGGAAAACATACAAGCCATTCAGGTGTTGCTCCAAGTTTTGGGCACTGGACCTGAAATAAACTCATATTTCGGCTGGAGTGATGGTGTTAGTGATGATAACATTAGAAACAACAATGTCAATACCTATGAAGGAGACTACTACAAACCGAGGAGTGTCAGGTACAGAAATCTGCATTCCTTGCACTACACGTCTCTGCCTGTGAGGCCTCAGTGTAACATACCCAATGACAGCTGCTTTTGAACTTGAGAAATCTGGGCCTGCTAAAAGCTACAGTCACCCTTTTCTAACCTCACCAATCCTCTTTGCATTCTCAGAAATAATTGCTAGGGCTTCTCTTTTAACTTAGCTGATTCCTTAGATACCTTACATTTTAAATCATCTTTTTGTGTGTAGCAAATCCCCCCTTTCTTGTCTCTGAGTGTGTGATCTTTGCTCTAATTATGTTGAGAGTGCCCGTTATTTCACCTGACTCTAGTTGTTTGTGAGATACTAAATAGCCATGGGGTTAAAGCAGACTAGGATCAGAGAGCAACTCAGCCTCTCAGGACCTCAGTTCCGTTCCTTACAAAGGAAGGAGATTGGACTAAGGTCATTTGGTCATGCGACAAGAGTACGTGATAGATAAAGTAATGATCTCTTCTTGCTGGGCAGAAGCAGTGAATAGGGCTCTCCATGGTCCCTTCCAGCTCGCTAGCTCTAGCAGAGCACAGACATCAAGATAGAAGTCAAGAGTTTATTCAGGAGGGGCCGGGGATTTGGCTCAGTGGTGCCACCACCTGCCTCGAAAGCACAAGGTCCTGAGTTCGATCCCTGATACCAAAAAAAAAAGAGTTTATTCAGGAGATAGGGATTAGCAACAGTAACAATAAAGAAATACTTTAGCAGCCAGGGCCTTGTCAAGGCAGACCAGAAGAGTTGTCTCAGACCAAGGAGAGGTCTGTGTGTCAAAGGAGAGGGGAGAATTGTTAGAGGAACCAAAATTGAGGAGCCTTGATCAAGAATTAGAATGGCTTTTCTCTCCTGGATATAGAAATATAGAAATCCAAAAACAAAAACAATCTTGGTGGGGGGGCAGGGACTTAGCTCAGCAGCACGGCGCTTGCCTGGCAAGGGCAAAGTCCTGAATTTGATCCCCAGTATCCCTCACACCCCAAGAAAAAAACAAAACCAAAAAACAAACAAATCTAGAAATACAGAAATCCAAGCAGAGGTGGGTTTGCTCTGTGAGCCACCCTCTGGTTGGTTACTGGTAGACAATAGGATGCCTGTTCTTCCTAGTGCTGGTCTCTTCTGGATTCATCATCCCACCTGTCACTGGTAATGCTCTGCTATAATTGCACTGTTCCTGTTCAAGAAGCTCTTTCCTCACAAAGCAGGTGTAAGTTCCTCAGCATCTGGTCTCACTGTCCATACTTGCTGTTACGTGGGGTTTTTGGCGGGGAGATTGCTCTCGTCAGTCTTGTACAGTATGTGTAATTGCAAAGGGACCTACTTACTTACTGGATGTCTTTGCAGTGCCTGGTGCAGTGCCAGTTGCCTATGCACATATGTGTTGCTAGCATCCATGCCAAGTGCGCCTCTCCCTCCGCCGGCAGTTCTTTACTTTGTCACCCTTGCCTGATGGAGTGAAAGTTACCAACCTCATTTGCAGTTACCAGCTCCAGCCTTTTACCTTTTCATGCCATTCACCAGGATCCATCTGTTTTTCCTCATTTTCTTCCCTGTTCCTTCCTTCTTCCCTGACTCTTTGTGGTAGAGATTGAACCCAAGGGCTTTACACTGAGCTACATTTCCAGGCCTTTTAAAATTTAATTTAATTAATATATTTATTTGCTTATTTGAGACAAGATCTCACCAAGTCACTAAGCTGGGCTCAAACTTGTGATCCTCCTGCCTCAGCCTCCCACAGTGCTAGAATTACAGGCATGTGCCACTGTGCCTGGTTTCTTATGAATCGAGTCCTTTTTTTTGGTACCGGGGATTGAACTCGGGTCCTTGTGCTTGCACAGCAGGTGGCAAAACCATCAAGTCCTTTTAAGAGTTCTGTTTTCAGTCATACTAGTGTCAGCTTTATTACTGGTTCCCTGTGGACAGGGATCTTGTTTTAGGTTTCATTTGGCTCCCACACAGCACCTAGCTAGCAGTGTGCTGAGTAAGTGGTGGACAGTTGACCCATAAGTGTTATTGGTTGGCATGTGTGTATTGCTGGCGGAAGACTTACAGGAAAATAAGTACAGTGAATTGGGGAGTAGCAGGTCCAGTGCCCTGAGGCACAGGAGGGAGCTCTTTGTCCTCTAGCAGTGGCAGCAAAGGCCTTTGCTCTGAGTTCCCTCCCAGGGAACTTGCCAGCAGAACGTTCACTTTTTTTAAAATTAGGAAATGTATATTGAGATTGTAAATCTTTATAGTGTTATTTTCTCCCCTGTTTGTTTAAAGGCCTTCCATGTTGCCTGCAAACTATGACTTAGTTCCCACTTGCTTTTTCTGGATTTTCTCCTGTGTTGTTTGTCACTTAGAGACCTCCCCGCAACTTTCAAATCATTTTTGGAAGCAGACAGAATACAAATTTAAATAAATAAATATTCTTTGTGCTCCATTTAGAAAGCTGGCCTAGTTTTTCACTTTGTGTTGAACTCCCATTTGTGTTTTGGGTCATTATACGGCACTTGGCTCAGCCAATTAAGTTTCTTCTAAGTATCTTTATTCTGTATCAGTATAGTCTTTTCTTGAGGCTTTAATATTGTTCCTTTGAGGAACATCCATCTTTCTGGTGCTCTTTTGTTGCTTAAATGTTCTTCCCATGGGACCTTTGACAATTTCCCCAAGCCTAGCAATTTCAGTAAGTGCTTAATAACATAATTTAGGTTGCCTCCCTGCGTCAATCTGCAGGACTTAGACATTTCAGCATGCAGTGTTCTGCCAGTTTCTCACCTCGGAAAAGCTTCTACTGTGTTTCATCCAATGCTGTGTTCTCTCCTCCATTTAACTCCTTTGCAAAGGAAGGTAGACGGAAACACAGCAAAATATATTAGAAGTTTTTACACTTCATTTATGAGATGAGCAAAGTATAATTTAGCCTCTGTAGTCTATTTCAGTAGCCCCCAAATCACTAGTGAGTCCCTCATGATTACAGTATATTTAATAACAGAATTCTGTACCTAAAAATGGTCTACAAAAATTATATTGCTTAATTATTTATTTACAGATAGCTACTTTAACTATCTAGTCAGGTGGCCAGTTTCAAAATTGTTTGAAGAGGATTTCATAGCCTCTTTTGGTAACAATGACAATAGGTAACATACGTAGTGCTTACTACCTGCTTGGCAGTTTTAAATATAAATACACCCACATACTAATAAGCAATATATAGCAGGCTTTTAAAATTTTTACTATTTATTTATTTATTTATTTATGAAACAGGGTCTTGCTATATGTTCCAGGCTGGCCTTGAACTCACTGTGTAGCCCAGGCTGGCCTTGAACTCATGGCAATCCTCATGCCTCAGCCTCCCAACTGTTGGGATTGCAGGCATGTGCCACCATGCCCAGCTTATATAGCAGACTTTAAAAAATTCAGACAGGATTTCAGCCTTTTAACAAGAAAGTTTAACCTATTTCTTTATTGTCATTACTAATAGTTTTAGACTTATTTTTACTCTCTTAAATTGTTTTCTATTTACCATACTTGCTTCATTTTTCTCTTTTTCTGCTTACTACTGGATAAATCACATTTTTCTTGTTCTCCTGTGTATCTCTCATTTGAAAATACTTACTTAGCTTCTATTTCCTTACCTCCTTACATGTTAACATATGTTCTTCCCTTGCAGGCTAAAGTTAATTGGGCCTCCGTTGACTGTTAGAACACCCTCGCTCTAGACTCCTTTCTCTCAGTTTCTATGCTGTTCTTTAATTTCAGAGAATCAGTGGATTACAGACCTCAGTGTCATATTGCCTGAGTTTGAACTCCACACTGCCACACACTAGCTGTGAGACCCCTCTGGTAAGTTCTGTAACTTCCCTGTGTTATAATTTTCTTATTGGTAAAGAGAAAGGTGGTAAGAGGATCCACTGCATAGAGTTGTTGAAAGGATTACATGAACTAATCCCGGCAAAGCATTTAGAAGTGTCTGAGACAGAGTAAGCATTTAGTATGTGGTGGCTACCATGATTGCTGGTATTCTACCTTGTTTTTAATCTCCCTTTTACCCACTTTGAAACAGTTTGTGCATTTTAATTTATCATTTTTTGGCAGTGTTGCAGTGTTGTCACACTAGGCAAGTACTCTGCCACTGAGCTACATACTCCCCCAGCCCATGTCCATGCATTTTATTTGTTTGTTTGTTTAGTGGTACTGGGAATTGAACCCAGGTCTTTCACAATGAGCTACATCCCCAGGCTGTTTAATTTTTTTTTAATTTTGAGAGAGAGTCTTGCTAAGTCATTAAGTTGCCCAGTCTGGGCTTGAGCTTGCAATCCTATCTCAGCTTCCCAAGTAGCTGAGACTACAGATGTGTGCCACTACACCCAACCATGCATTTTAGCTAATAACACATTTGATAATTTTAAAGATTACGATGTAAGTAACATACAGTACTGCAATCTTAAGTGTTCTATTTGAAGAAATTTTTTTTTTTTTTTTTGGTACCAGGGATCAAACTCGGGTCCTTGCGCTTGCGCAGCAGGTAGTGAAACCATTGAGCTAAATCCCCGGCCCAATTTGAAGAATTTTTGAGAGCCATCTGTAACCACTGCCCCAAAAAAGATGTAGCACATTTTCATTCTCCCAGAAAGTTCCCTAGTCTCTCTCTCCATTCAGTTTCTTTCCCACGCCCACCCTCTACCATCTCTACAACCACTATCTGATTTGATCACAGTACATTAGTTTTGCCAATATACCTACTTCTTATAATTGGACCATATACCATTTACTCTTTTGTGTCTGGCTTTTTGAAAATAACATAATATTTAAGATTCATCAATGTTGTTGTATGTATTGTAGTTCATTCTTTATTAGGAGAAATTTCCATACAGTTCTCCAAGTAGTTGTACCATTTTACACTGCTAACAATAAATGAAAGTTGTACTTACTCAGCATTCTCACTAACACTTGGTGTTGTCAGTCTTTCTGCAGTTTCTTTGCTTGCTACTTGCTATTTTTTTTCTTACACTTCATTTCTTCTCTCTGGTTAATTTTCCCTTGTATGGCAGTTCTCTCAGTAACAGTCTCCTTAATCTCTTGTCATACTTCAAAACTCAGTCTTACACAGATACTTGGTTCATTGGTATTTACTTCCCTTAGTATTTGAAAACGATTACTCCATTTCTTCTGATACCTATTGTTATTAATGACAGATTTCTATCACTTTAGTTGTTATTCTCTTGTAATAGCTTTTCTCTTGGTTTGTTTAAATTCTTTTTTCTGTGTTGTTGATAATTTGACATTTTCATTCTGAGGACTCATATCTGTCTTTAATTTCAGAAAATTCTGAGAGATTATATCTTCAAATTGCTTTGCCTGCATGTTCTCCCTTGCCTCCCTCCGGAATGCCTATTAGATGCATGTTCAGCCTTGTCATTTTATCTCCCATGTTCCTTAACCTTTCTTTCATATTTTCTGTCTTTTTAACATTGTTTTCTTCTGAGCAATTTTCTCTGATTTCTCTTCATGGTCACTGATTTTTCTCCTTAACTGTATCTAATCTGTTTAATTCCTCAAAGGATGAATTTCAGTGACTAATTTTTATTTTTATTTTTGGAAGTTCTTTTGGTTCTTTTTATATGTGCCTGTCCTTTTTTCATACTGTTGTTCTTTCAGTATGACTTTAATTTACCTGTTTGTGAAAATGAAACAGCTTGTTTATAGCATTTTAGGGTTTTCAGTTCTTGGAGATGCTATTCCTCTGGTTTCTTGCGTGTAATGACTTTCCTTCATGGTGAAGTTACATGATTTATTTCCTCATGTGACTTTTCATGTTTTACCTTTTAGGTACAGATATGGGGACCCTCCTTTTCTGCAACACTCATGTATTTATCTAGCTGATATAGAGCTCCTCTCATTTTATTCTCTCTCTCACCCCCAACTCCTGTTTCCATTCCTCTTTTTCCTGTAGGTACCCACTCTAATGCATTTGATAACATGTCTTTGTGTGTGTAGCCTTAACTTATATATCATCTTGTTTCAATTATGTGTTTGTAACTTACATCAGTGGTATTATCATATCTCATCCTGTTGATGGTTGGTTGATTTTTTGCTTTTACTCAGTACTGCATATTTAGGATTACCCATGTTTCTGTCTGAATAGTAAGGCCTTTCTCCTATCTAAAGCACTGTTTCCCGTAGCATACATCTTGCACTTTACCTTATGTCTTCTTTTGTTGATGGACATCTAAACTGACTCTCATCCCTCTGCTACCACAAATAATACCAAAGTGATCTTTCTGCCCATACTTCCTTATAAATCTATGTGAGAATTTTTCTAGAGCACATATACAGGAGGATGCTGCTTAGGTTACAAGGCATATATGTGCAACACATCTCACTAAATATTACCATATTGGTTTTTCAGAACAGTTGTATCAGTTACATACCTATCAGTGATACTTTTAGATTCAAATCCACATGTTAACCGCATGTTAGTGTTAGACCTTGGAGAAATTGCTCAGCCTCTCTGGGTTTTAGTATCCCCACCAGTCAAAGGGAAAATAATAGTATCTACCTCATCAGGTGTTAAGATGATAAAATGAGTTTATATACATTTAGCTTATGAGACTAATAGGTATTAAATAAATACTAGGGGCTATTACTGTTGTAACTACCATTACTGCTTGTTAGCAAATTATTTGTGGTTTTCTTTTTTCTTAAGTTTATAGAAGTTCCTATGTATTCTAGGTATTTGATGCCTTTAAACTTTGCAGATCTCCTATTTCTGCCATTAGTCTGGATCTGTCTGAATCTGTCTATAGAGTTCTTTGAGTACCTATATAATCAAATTCCTTTTTTTCTACTTTTGGGGTATTAAGAAGTCTTTTCCTACCCCTGCTTCAAAGTTCCCCTCTGACATTTTCTATATTTGCCTTTCATATTCAGGTCTTCCTCATATGAGGAAGCCTCTTTTCTGTTTTTCTTTTTCCCTATGTGAGTCTCCATGCTGTGGATTTTGAAAGTATTCCACTTTTTTCTGCTGTGTACCAGGAACCAGTTTTTTATGTTAATTTCTCAGCTCAAGATTCCTATATGTATATAATGTAAATTGGGTACCTGCATTTGTATGTAGTCATAGGCCTACATTTTAGATTTCTGTGTGTGCCTTTTTTCCCACTCAAGGCCTAGATAATTAGCAACTTTTGTCATCATTTCCTTGGGCCCGGAGCAGAGTTTTCAAGGCTGCATATCAAGGAGGAATAGGCCTTTTAGGCTGTTGGCTTTATGCAGGGGACTCAGTTCTAGCTCCCCACCTTCTACCTGCTTGAAGCCATATTTGTAGTCTCGATGTAAGCATTCATCCATCCTGCTCCAAGCCCTGGGCCTGTATAGGAGTTTGGAACCCCTACGGGCCACCGTGGTCTCAACTCCCACTTAACTGTTCCAGCTTTGATTTTGATGTCTTTTTCATTTCAGGTGCCTAGGGATTTCTTTCTTTCTTTTTTTTTTTTTAACTTGACTTATGTATTTTAAAAGGATTTTTGCTATGTTTCATCCAGAATGTCTGTGTGTTTGTAGTTAGAGAAAAGACCCATTTACATCAGCCCAATGTACCATTTTGCCAAGAGTGTGTTCTTTAATTAGTATTCCTATTAATCAATAAATATTCAAATTTCAGCATTGCCAGCTTACATTTATTATGTAGCCCTTGACCACCCTTGACTGTTTTTGGCATTAGCTATCTATATTCTCCTTTGATTGACCAAGTTTATTACTATCTTGTTAGTATCTCTGAACTGGTAAGGAACAAAATTTAAGGGTTTTTTGTTTTGTGTTTTTAAATCACTGCACACTTACTCTGTTAAAGTTATTATTTTCTCTTCTAATTTTTTTGTTAATAAAATATTAAACAGCTCTGACCACACAGTCCTATAGTTAATGCTCAAAATACTTCCCTCTGGATCTCGGTAGCTCTTTTTATTTTTTAAAAAGATATAGATACCCTTCCCAGAAAAATGATCATAAAGCAACCTTCTAAGTTTTAATTTTTCCTGAAAATATAACTCCAGTCAATCATTTCTTACTAGTAAGAATGTTTAAAAAGATCTGATATATGGGGCCGGGGATTTAGCGCAGTGGTTTTGCCGCCTGCTGGGCAAGCGCAAAGACTCGAGTTTGATCCCCGGTACCAAAAAAAAAAAAGATCTGATATATGTCCATATTGATCTGGACAATAAGTCTTCTGATGTACTGTAGTCCATACCTTGCCTTATAAAGAAAATCACATGTCAATACATTTTGTTTGTATCAATGCCTGTTTAGTAGTTTATAGTTCCTGTTATTTGTGAATTGAATTCTTTTTCTGATTTTTTTTCTCAGATATTAAGTAAATTTAAAACTTCAGTTATTCTTCTCCCTTTTTTCTAAAGATAGCACCTACAATTGCTTATTTTAAATCTTGGCAGGCCCAGGGATTTAGCTCAGTGGTTCTGCCTGCCTTGCAAGCGCAAGGTCACGAGTTCGATCTCCGGTACCAAAAAAAAAAAACAACTTGGCATTTTTTTTCCTCTTTCCATAAGTACCACGAGATACAAATTGTATTCCTGCTGCTGCTTTTGCTACTATTAGTAGCAAGTCATTTAGCTCCTAGTGCTGTTTGTTCATCTATTTATATATAAATAATATATATGTGTGTGTTTTTATATATTTCTATAAGTACTGCATGCTAACTGATTGTGCCACTGGAGCTCCTATATATATATATGTATTTATAATACAAATATTAAAACAGACTGTACACACGGAGTGGGGTTAAATATTCTCAAAGATCAGCCGGGAATGATGGTGCATGCCTATAATCCTAGCACTTAGGCTGAGCCAGGAGGATTGCTGTAAGTTTGAGGCCAGCCTGGGCTGTGTAGTGAGTTCAAGACCAGCCTGAACTACATAGTAACACCCTGTCTCACAAAACAACAACAACAACAAAATATTCTCAAAGATCCTCTTGGAGCAAACTGAAAAAGTTATATGAATTAATGAGTGCCTAACAGTGTTAGCTACTATAGTATAGATGGGGTTTGGAGTGCCTAGAACTGGAAAAACAAAACAGAACAAACTATATTGTAAACATTTTTAATAAGCAGCATTTTTAGAGCAGTGTTTTGTTTTGTCTTGTCTTGTTTTGTTGGGATTACAGGCCTCCCCTGTGCTGAGATTACAGGCATGCACCACCATGGCTGGCTAGAGTAATTTTTTTTTTTGGTACTGGGAATTGAACTCAGGACCTTGCGCTTTCAAGACAGGCACGGTGCCACTGAGCTAAATCCCCGATCCTAGAGTGATTTTTAAGTATACAGCAAAGTTGACCAGAGAGTATGGAGAATTCCCACATATCTCTGTGCCCCATACATGCACAACTTCCCCCTTAGATATCTCACATCATCCCAGAACCTTTCTTAAAATCACTGAACTTCTGTTGACACTTTGTTATTACTTAATACCTATATATATATTTTTTTTGGGGGGGGGGTGGATACTGGGGATCGAACTGAGGACCTTGGGCTTATGAGGCAGAGCTAAATCCCCAGCCCCTTGAAGCCCTATTTTACATTAAGGTTCATTCTTGGTATTGTACATCTGTGGGTTTTGACAAATGTATAGTGATGTATATCTACCATTGTAGACTCATACAGAATGGTTTCACTGCCCTAAAAACCCTCTGTTCTTTGCTGATCCATCCTTGGCTCCCCATAACCTGTGATAATCTTAAATGTTTTTACTGTCTGCATAGTTTTGCCTTTTCTAGAATGTCATATAGTTAGATCACAAAGCCTTATGTATATACCTTTCCAAGTTGGTTTCTTTCACTAATATTTATTTAAGTTTCCTGTGTGTCTTTTTGTGACTAGATAGCTCATTTCTCTTTGGAATTGAATACACTATATTACCTCAGTTTATTTACTAATTCACCTGCTTCTTGCTTGTTTTTAAGTTTTGGCATTTATGAATAAAACTGTTATAAACATCTGTGTGTGGCTTTTTATGCATGTAAGTCTTCAGCTCCTTTGGCTTAATACAAAGGAATGTGATTGCTGGATTATATATTAAGAGTATGTTTAATTTTGAAACAAGTTACCAGAATTCTTTCAAAGTGGTTGTACCATTTTGCAATTCTCACCAGAAATGAATGACAGTTTTTTTACTACACATCTTTTGTCAGCATTTGACGTAGGCAGTGTTTCAGATTTTGGCCATTCTCCTAAGTGGGTAGTGGTATCTCGTTGTTGATTTAATTTGCAATTCTCTAATGACGTACAGTGTTGAATATATTTTCACATTTACTTGCTATTATATATCTGTTTCAGAGAGATACCTGTTCCGGTCTTTTGCCAATTTTAAATATTTTTTAAATTTTTATGGTTTTGGTTTTTTGAGACAGGGTCTTGCTGTGCAGCCCAAGCTGGCCTTGAGCTCACAGTCCTCCTGGCACACCCTCTTGAGCACTGGGAGAATAATTTCAAATTCCGTTTGTTCATTGATGGTATATGGGAAACAATTGACTTTTATATTTTTTAAAAGTATTAGTATATGTTTTAGTACATGTACTAGTATTAGTACATGTATTAGTACATGTTTGCAATTATTACATGTATTAGTACATGTATGAGTACGTTTTAGTACATGTTTGCAATACATAATGATTCATTGTGAGGAATTGGTACGTGTACATATGTATAACACATCGTAGTTCTTTTTATTTCTTCTTCCTTTCCATCCCCATTTGTTTTTCTCTAAATTTTTTTGCCAATCTGAGATTGATTTTTGTATATTAACTTTGTGTCCTGCATCTTTCTTATAATTGCTTATTAGTTCCAAGACGAATTTTTTAGTCAATTAATAGATTTTGTACGTAGACAATCATGTCATCTGCAAAGAAAAATAATTTTATATTTTCCTTCCCAAACTTGTTTTTTTTTTTTTTGCCTTATTGGAGGAGCTAGTAATTCCAGTACAGTGTTGAAAGTGGGGTAAGAGGAAACATGTATACATTGTTCCTAATCTTAGCTGAAGAACATTGCATTCTCATCATTAAATATGATGTATATGTAGGATTTTTTGGTAAATGTTCTTTTTTTTTAAAAGATAATATCTCACTATTTAGTCCAGGTTGGTCTTGAACTTTCAATCTTCTGTCTCAGCCTCCCAAGTTCTAGATTATGGCTATGTACCACCACATCCAGCCTATAGATTGTCTTTATCCTATTTCCAGTTTGCTGAGGGTTTTCATCATCAATAACTATTGGATTTCATTAAATTATCTTTCTGCATCATTGATAATGATGTGCTTTTTTTCCCCCTTAACCTGTAATGTTATGGAATATATTAATTGATTTTTGAATGTTTCTCTCCTCTTCACATCTATTCAGTTCCTAAAACATGACAGCTACAGTTTCTATACATTCTTTGACTCTCTCCTCCGCTCTCTTCTGTAACCACCTCTTCCTGGCAAAGCCCTGATTGATTTCCTCCTGATCTGCAATAATAATGAGGTAGGGGTAGTACTAGGCAAGAGCAGAGGTATGGAGACCAGTTAGGAGATTTATTGCAGTAATCCAGATAAATGGTGGTGGTGGTTTGGACTGACCATTGGCAATGCAAGTGATTGGATTTGGCATATGTTTTGAAAATAGAGCCAAAAGAATTGATAAAGGATTGGAGTTAGGGTATGAGAAAATCAGGAGTCAAAAACTACTTCTAGAGTTTTAGTTTGAACAATTAGAAGGACAGAATTGCTGTGAGGTAGGAAAGAAGGCAGGAGACTTCTGGAGGTATAGAGTTTCAGAAAGCTAGTAGGCTTTCAGATTTTGAGTAGGTAGTTGGAGGTGTATATCTGGAGTTCAAAGCCAGAGCTGGAAAAGGAACAGAAGGGGGCCAACAGGAGAAACTGAGAGGGCATGGCTGGTCAGTTAGTAAGAGAATGTAGAGCACTGATGGCAAACCTTTTAGAGCTTTCAATGATACAAACAGCCCACTGTGGCACATGTCCCATAGGTTCGCCACCACTGACCTACAGCCAGTTGAAAAACATGTTAAAAAATTAGACTTCCCAAAATAAAACTCAGTCTAAAAATGGACAAGTGAAATGGATACTTCTCAGAAGAAACAGTACAAATGGCCAGTAAATACATGAAGAAATGTTCAATATTGCTGCCCATTAGAGAAATATAAATTAAAACAACACTGAGATTCCATCTTACCCCAGAAAGAATGGCTGTCATCAAGAAATCGAATAACAAATGCTGGCAAGGCTTCAGGGAAAAAGGAACCCTTCTATATTGTTGGTGGGAATGCATACTACTATAACCACTATGGAAATCAGTATGAAGATTCCTCAGAAAACTAAAACTAGAATTTACATTTGACCTAGCTATTTCCCCTTCTAGGTATATTCTCAAAAGTTGCAATTCATAATAGCTAAGTCTTGGAAGCAGCCTATATGTCCATCAATAGATGAATGGGTAAAGAAACTAGTATTTACACATGATAGAGTACCACTCTGCCATAAAGAAGGATAAACTTGTGTCATTTGTAGGAAAATAGATGCACCTTGAGACCATAATGTTAAGTGAAATAAATCAAACACACTAGCTTAAATATTGCATGGTTTTTCTTATTTGAGAAATCCCATAATATAAAGAACAAATAAAAATTAGATAGTAGGAAGTAGGGAGATTTCACGAATGGGAAAGAAATCAAAAGATGGAGGGAAGAGAGAGGAAAGGGGAGAGGGATACAAAAAGTTCAGATGTGTTGTGTACACAACCGCACACAAGGAATGCAATCGTGTACTGCAAAGATGTACTAATACAAAAATTCAAAATTCAAAAAAAAGTGCAGAGCTAGGGATTCAGCTCAGTGGTTCCGCCGCCTGCCTCGCAAGCATAAGGACGCGAGTTCGATCCCCAGTACCAAAAAACACCCCAAAACAAAACCCCAAAAAAGTGCATGTTAGAGAGAAGGAATGTTGGCTTCTGTGCAGTGCTGCAGATAGCTTCAGCATGCCGGAGACATTTAGTTTGAAGTCTCTGTATATTCTTCCAGGTGGCCAGCAGCTCTGTGGGGGCAAGAATAGCATCCAGTAGTGTAGTTACAGCTATGAAGTCCCTGAGATGTGGCAGGTCATTTCTTGACTTCTTTTCCTTGGGCTGCTTCTCTTGGGCCTGCTAAGCTTGTCTCATCTGTGAAATGAAGAGGAAATGATGTCTCTTTCACTGAGTCATTTTGCAGATCAAATGAGGTTGTCCACATAAAGAACTAAGCATAATTCCTTTCCTGTAGTTAAGCATGTGGTAATTACTATAATTATTAATGTAGTATACCTGGTAAATTGCCCCCCTCCCTATTGAGCAACATTTGTTGAATGAATGAGTGAATTGCTTTTTTGTTTGTCTAGCATTTCACAATAAGGCATTTCCCATGTGCTTGTGAAGTTTTATTTGGTGTCGTGGCAGGAGAGAGGAAGTGAAGTCCTGGGGCAGAGCTGCTGTGATGGAGCTCCCCAACTACAGCCGGCAGCTGCTGCAGCAACTGTACACACTGTGCAAGGAGCAGCAGTTCTGTGACTGCACCATTTCCATCGGCACCATTTACTTCAGGGCTCACAAACTTGTCCTGGCCGCAGCCAGCCTTCTGTTCAAAACCTTGCTGGACAACACAGACACCATCTCCATCGATGCGGCTGTGGTGAGCCCCGAGGAGTTTGCCCTCTTGTTAGAAATGATGTATACTGGCAAATTACCTGTGGGCAAACACAACTTCTCCAAAATCATCTCTTTAGCCGACAGCCTGCAGATGTTTGATGTGGCTGTAAGCTGTAAGAATCTTCTGACCAGCCTTGTAAACTGCTCCGTGCAGGGTCAGGTGGTAAGGGACATCTCTGCACCATCCTCAGAGTCCTGTAGGAAAGAAGAAACAGAAATGCCTCAAATAGCAGTCCTTTCCTCTGAAGGTGCAGCAGTGTCCCTTTCCTCCCTGGAGGCTTCTGCCACCTCAGGGATCCCTGTGAAAGCCGAGGCCCAGGAAGCAATCCATATGGGGACCCAAGAGATGAGTGCAGGTCATCCCACTGCCCAGGAGATTCCAGGGGATGCAGAAGCCCCAGTGGAGACTCCTCACCCAGCTGATGTTGGTTCCCCCTCACCTGCTGGACAGACCTTGAGTGGAGCAAAGGGGGCGAGCACAGAACCAGGTAGTACTTATTTAATTTTATATTTAACTTCATTTCAGCTTTAATTGGAATTGTAGTTCTTTTGTCAGTCACTAGATTTGATGATCTCTATTTATTTTTTATTTCATTGATGAATTTACCAAAGACCACCATAGGCAGGAAACCCTAGTCCAGTACAGTACCTCACTGCAGCATTCTTCTTTAAAAGTGTCTATGTTTTTCGGGGTTGAATTTCTGGGGAAGAGTTACAAAGCAGAAGATGGGTATTGAAGTAACAATGTCCCGCTTGATCATTCTCCATTGTTTTAAGCAGGCTCAGGGTGGTACACGGGAGGGATCTATGAGATATGCTGGTGCCTGTTGCTCAGCACTGAGGTGCCAGGTGTGCAGTCTGTAACCTGAAGGTTCTCTGATAGCTGAAAACTTTATTTATCATCATTTCAAAGAACAAATCACTGTTTTGTTTTATTTTGTTTTGTTTTACATTTAGAATGTGAGAGGAAACAATACCAGCTGAGTTTTCTTCTAGAAAATGAAAATGTTTTCTCAGATGCACTCTTGGTTACTCAGGACATTTTTAAAAGACTAGAAGAATGTTCAGAAATTAAAGGCCCACAGAAGGAGGTAGGTGCCGGAGCTTTATCTGTTTGCTAATTTAGTGTTCTTAGGATACCATGTCAACTTTCCTTATGGGGCAAAAGTATGATTATGCAGAATACCCCAGGGTTTCAAATTTCTCAAATTTGAATGTTTTGGTCATTTATTCCCTATAGGGCAATCTTGCAAAAGCACTAGGCAAGATAATTTCAAAATGAAGTTATATATTGATCACCATAGGAATCCTAGCTTATCATCAATGTTGATGTAACTTCCTTTTTTTCCCTTTTCTTTCTTTTTTTTTGAGACAGGATGTCACTAGGTTATCTAGGCCAGCCTTGAGCTTGCTGTTGCCCAGGCTGGCCTCAAACTCAGGATTCTCCTGCATTAGCCTCCTGAATGCTATGATTACAGGCATGTGCCACTGTACCCAGCCTTGCATACTATTCCTTCCTGATAAATCAAGAATAAAATGAGGCAGAGGGTAGTGTTCGATAATCCCAAATCAGAGATTAAAACAATAAAAATAACAGCTACTCAAAACATGTACAAAAAGGATTTACTATAAACTTAACACAGTAAGTTGCAACTAATGTTTAAGAATATGCTGGCCACTTTTAGTTATAAAAACATGGTGAACATTAATTTAACATTGTATTGGTACATATTTCATCTATTTAAGGCTCGCAAAACTCAGAGAAGTGGGTTCTATGTTTTTAGTCCTGTTTTATGGGTGAGGAAACTGAAAGAAGTGATACAACTTGGCAAAGGCACAGAGCTCATAAACTCCAAGCCAGAGCCAGAGGTCAAACCAGGCAGTGCTGGGGATGGAACCCAGGGCTTTGCACATGGCAGGCAAATGCTCCACTACTAAGGCTCATCCCAGCTTGCATTCTGACTGTAGAGCTGCCTCCTTGCATACCCTGCCCGCTACAAGGTGAAATGATCATGTATGTAAATATGTTTAGGAATCACCCAACAGGAAAGTATCAAAGGGCTCTCTCTTTTTTTGGTACTGGGGATCAAACTCGGGTCCTTGAGCTTGCAAGGCAGGCAGCGGAGCCCCTGAGCTAAATCCCCAGCCCAAAAAACTCACATGCTTTTCTTTTTTTTTTTTTTGTACCTGGGATTGAACTCAGAACCTTGTGCTTGGGAGGCAGGTGGCGGCACCGCAGAGCTAAATCCCCGGCCCAAAGACTGTTCTATTTTCTTTCTACGGTACTGGGGATGGAACTTGGGACTTTGTGTTTGCAAGGCAGGCAGCAGAACCACTGAGCTAAGTCCCTGGCCCACTCAAAGGGCTGTCTTGCTCTGTTTCTGAGCTGCTTTTTCTTTTTTTTTGCAGTAACATAATTGAGACAGATCCCCACCTGTGTGCTCCCACACACCTGACCCTTCAGATTTGATGAGGCACTTTTGATCCCTACTTGCTTCCGCTCTGACTGCCCTGCTTCCCCCTCTGAAAGCCTTCAGCAGAGTGAGGTCCACCCCCCCCCACCCCCCGCAAAGCAGACTTGCTTGTCTGATTGGTGAGGGTGTGGGGAGGTTTTCAGTCAACTCAGTGTCTGTTAGGGACTGTTAATTCAGCTAGCAGTGGCTTCCAGTATTTACGTGTTTCCTGATTTACAGCAGGTTACTTTTTTAAAAAACCAAATTCAAGGTCTAATATGGATTTTAACTGTATTAATTAACATTTGGCTATAACTATAAATTGTTGTCTTGGGAAATATGCTATTTATGAGAGAGGGCTGACCCCAGTGGCTCTCTTTGGGAGGTTTCAGGTCATTAATCCTTAGTACTCTTTATACTGATTATGCTGAAGGACACTTTGGTTTTATATATGTTTGTACTTCTTCTTTGTATATTTATTCTCTTAGTTGTTAAATCCATCATTTTTGTGATCAGTTTGTTACCTTGACAGCTTCTAGAAATACCTTCATTTTTTCCCTTAAGCCTTTCCCTCCACTTGCGTTTGGCTACAGAGGAGCAGCATTATTCCTCAGATCAGCAATACCCAAGTTATTAGTATTGCTCCATACTTGCTTGAATTGTGTTTTGTGCTGTTTTGGGGGGGGGGGTTTCTTCTTTTTTTTTGAACATAGTGGCTAGGTCCTGGCTTAAGAAAATGTCTGCTATACTTGGACTCATTCAACATTTCTTTCTTTATTTTCTAATCCTTGCTCTAATCTTTTGATGGCAGTAACATTATTAGTAGTTTGGAAGAGCACTGATTCACTGTTGGTGATCATTATAGGCTTAGTTATTGCTTCCTTGGTTTTAGAGGACCGAGTAACAGCTGTACAGATCACTTGGTGGCTATATTTAAAACTGATTCTGGGCCCGGGATTTTTAGCTCAGTGGTTTTGCCGCCTGCTATGCAAGTGCAAGGACCTGAGTTCGATCTCCAGTACCAAAAAAAAAAAATCCTGATTCTGTTGTGGCCCATACTAAATCTTTTAAATTCAGAAAGAAAAAGGGGAAAGATGCTCAGAGAATATAAGATTAAGTTGAATATAACGGCTGGGGATGTAGCTTAGTGATAGAGCTCATGCCTTAGCAAGCATGAGGCCCTGGCTTTGATCCATGGCATTGCCATAAATACATCCATATATATATACATACACACATACATACAGAGATGCCACTTATACTTAGGTCCTCCACTTCTTTTCCTCTTTTGTGCTTCTTGTAGACAGCTTTATAAAGACATATGATTGACATACAGTAAAAATGTATTTAAAGTGTATAATTTGATAAATTTTGATCATCAAAATCAGAAGAGTAAACATTTGCATCACCCCCCAAAGTTTGTCACATCCTTTTATAATCCAGCTCTCCTGTCCCATACTGCATTCTCTTCTCCCAGGTAATACTGATTTGCTGTCAATTTGGATTAGTTTGTATATTTTATAGTATTATATAAGTGGAGTCCTGTAGTATGTATTGGTTTTGTCTGGCTTTTATTCAGTGTAACTATGGAGATGCATAATTATTGTTACATGTTGGTTCCTTGTTATTGATGAGTAGTATTCTCCTGTATGGATGTGCAGTTTATCTTACTTTACCATATATTAGCATTGTGACTTTGAGTAACTTAGTCTTTATAAGCTTTAATTTCTTAATTTGTAAAAAAAGGGATACATTGATGGTCATGGTAGAGCAGGCCTGAAATCCCAGCATTCTGGGAGGCTTAAACAGAAGGATTGCAAGGTCAAGACCATGTCTCAAAATTTAAAAAAGGGCTGGGGATGAAACTCAGTGCAAATGTCCTATATTCAATCTCCAGTACTACCGAAAAATTTAAAAATAAGAATTCATCATAGAGTAACTATAAATTAATTAGGATTATGTATATAAAGCTTATGGTGAAACGTCAGGCACATAGTAGGAGCTTAGTAGTTTATACATAATCAGGAGTTTGTTTATACATTAATCAGGAGTTTAAAACTTAATAGACCTCTAAGCCCCTTTTTGCCAAATGTGTTATTACATCTAATGTCATGGTTGTTTATAACACATGAAATGGTTTGCTATTACATTAAGCTTAATTAGTAAGACATACTTTCAAATAGGTGCCACCATCCACTTGGAAGTAGCTTCCTGAGCCGCATGAGTAGTGTCTAGTATGAAGCAGCCAATCTCTATAACAGTGGTACAGCGTATATGCCTTAGTCACTTTTTAGCTAGGACACAATACTGATACCCATAACTTAAAGGAGAGGTTATTTTGGCTCACACTTTCAGTCCATGGTCAGCAGGCTCCAATGCAGAACCGGTGTGGTGGAAGGGCGTAGCAGAGGAAAAGTGTTCCTGTCTCGGTGCCAGGAAGCAGAGTCAAAGGAGGAGCCTGGGAGAGAGATAATAACCTTCGAGGTCACACCCCCAGTGACCTGCCTCCAACCAGTCCCCATCTCCTTACTGCAAGTCAGCAGTGAACTCTTCAGTGGACTGATCCACTGATGAATACAGCACCTCCATGATCTAGTCACCTTCCAGACACACAAGGCTTTGGGGGGACATTCCAGATTTAAACCATAATGGTATATAAAAATCATTGGGTGTGCTTGTTAAAGCATATCCCTCCAAACCTCACTTCCAAAGAGTCTGATTCTTAGGTTGGAGGTAGAGCCTGGGACGCTATCTTTTAACAAGTCCTGCTGTCTTGCTATCTGAGGACTACATTTTGAGAAGCACCGCTTTAGAAGTTAACAGCCTAAAAAGTTCTTAGCACATGTTTGCATATGTCATAATGTCTGTGCTGGCACCTTTTAGTGTTGTGAGTGGCTGCAGAATGCCCCTTTTCTGCAAGTGTTACCCATTGCTTACTCCTTGATCCAGCAGAAGTTTATTGAGCAACTGAGAGAAGCCAAACACTGACCTGGTTGCCAGAAAAATAAACTAAAACCCAATTTCTATCCTTACAAAGTGTCTTAACGGCAAAGAAATTCTGCCACACATGTAATTTATTTTTTTCCTGGGAAGTATGCTTGGTAGTCACCAAATTATAGGAATCACACTGTAAGGTTTCAGTGATGAATGGATTTAAGAACTGTTCACTTGGAATGATATTATTTTCAGTTTTATTACAACTTTAAAAATCATTTGGAGTTTATTTGCTTTTTTGTTTATGCATTTTTAGTTCCCAAGGAGCTTTGAATAATTTTGGTTATTGCTGGTTGTTTTGTTAGTAGGTTAATCATTATAACATCACTGATGATTTAACATTAAAAATAATTTACCACTCTTAAGTATAATTTTGAGGCTTGTTGAGGTTCGTGAGTGCTCTGGTTGAGACAGAGACCTGGGATGTGCAACCGGCCAAGATTGAGTTGAGGGAGGACACTGTTCAGCAATGTCCTGATGCTTTTATTTCTTGAGATAAGTGATGAAAGGTGGCAAAACCATTCCCTCAGCAGTGATTGCAGCCACGTGAAAAGAGGCCAGGCTGCTTGAATTGTGTGAAACAAAAGCCAGAACTGATTTACAGAGTGATGTTCTGGGTGCTGGGGTGGGGAAGTGTCTTCTGCCAGTCTATATCCCAGTGTTACATCGCCTAAACATTAGAAAAAGCGAGCAGTGACTCAATAGGCTCTCTGGGAGATCTGAGTAAAATCTCCATTTAAAGCCAGACTTACATGTTTTTTGGTGGTTTTTATGCTAGAACTTTTTTTTTTTTTTTTTGGTACGGGGATAGAACTCAGGCACTGGAACCACTGAGCTATATCCCCAACCCTATGCTAGAACTTTTAATTGTATTCTTTATTCCTAGCCATGTCCCTGATTTTAATTATTGTGTATATAGCAAAGTGGATCTTTGATGAGAATATGGAGCTCACTTTCTCTTACTGATTCTGTGCTATTTGACTCATTTTTTACCTAAAGTTCTTGTTTTGTTTGTTTGTTTTGTTTTTGGTACCGGGGATCGAACTCTGGTCCTTGCGCTTGCAAGGCAAGCGACGGAACCACTGAGCTAAATCCCTGGCCCTAAAGTTCTATTTTTTTTTTTTTTGTACTGGGAATCTAACTTAGGACCTTGTGCTTGTCAGGCACGCGCAGCACCACTGAGCTAAATCCCTGGCCCCTACCTAAAGTTCTAGAAAAGACTCCCAAAGCAGAAGACCTGGTAATACTTTTTCTCCTTCAACTGTATTTCAAAGGCAAACAAGTTTCCCCTCCTGTGTAAATCCACTTTGGAGGCCTGGTCAGTAGTGCAGGTCTGTATTTTGAAGACTGTGCTCACTGACAGTGGAGGATAACCCTCTCGAGTGAGTTCAGAGTGGGATTCATTTTAAAGGTTGTCAAGAGATGAAAATACATCGCTCTTTTTCCAGATCTCCTCTTGTTAACTATTAAGTGTGGGATACGCAACTGTATATAGAAGGACTAGTAACTGTATAGAAAGTGAATTTTATTCATTTAAACAAACATTTATTGAGCACCTAGTAGGTACAGTTGATACTAGTCATTGAGACCAAGAAGACTAGTACAGATTGTCTTACATACTACATTATGTTCAGTGATAAGGATTCTGATAAGTCCAATAGGATCCAGTATAAATGGATTTAATTTACCCTTAAAATTGGGGTGATAGAACTGAATGAAAGGAGTGCTGGGTTTGTGGAATGAATGCAGTATTTCATCCAGGCCATTCCCTAGCCCCTTGACCTTAGGCAAGTTACTTAACCTCCCTGACACTCACCCAAAGTAGCAGTAGCCATGCTGCCCAAGACTGGCCTAAGGAAGCAAGTAGTCTACACAGTGTCCAGGATGGTGTTGAGTGATTATAGTCATATCATTATTTTTAATTTTTATTTATCTTTTTTTTTCCCCAGTGCTGGGGTTTGAACCCAGGGCTTTGTGTCTGCTAAGCAGGTGCTTTACCACTGAGCTACACTCCCAGCCTTGTCTGTATCATTATTGCCATCACCTGACCCTCAGCATTCATGGAAAGGTTCTGGTGAATAAGAGTAAAGTATAACCCAAATAGATGTGAAGGTAGTAGGCAAACAATTGGGGGAAGTAAATTCAGTTAAAAGACATGAGTTAGGGAAAAGATTAAATGGTTTTTCCCATATCATCAATAGAAAGGAAATGTCTCATCTTTAAATACATTTACCTATATTTCACTCATAGGTAAAGTACTTTGATTATTTGTGTGACTGTGTGTTGGCATGAATCTACCCTTAGTCCCCTGGGAATGGAAGGAGTTCCAAATGTATGGTTAAAGAAGACCTTTTGAAAGAGCTGTTTCAGTTCAGCTCAGTTACATGGTAGCAGCCTGTCAAAATATGTGACAAAGACAGACACTGTTTCGGAAATGGAATTGATTATCATAGTAAAAGCAAAAGTGCTAGCTGTGGTGTGGGTCCCCAGTAGGTTCTGGAAGAAAGAGCAGGGCTGTCCAGGCAGCTCTCTGCTCCCTCCTGGTCCTTTCTTTTATCAGCCCATCCCTGCTTCTCTTCCCAGATGGTCACCCTAGCTTTACTCCTAAGCAGTGGAGTTAACAAATGTTTTAATTTCACTGCTGAGTAGTTCTGCAGAGGGAAAGAAAGCAGAGAGGATAATGAGAAGCACATCAGATGCTGCCTCTGATGAAAGTTTCTCCTCCCCCCAGCTCAAGTGACAAAGCCAAACACACTGTACACTGAGAGTGGTGGGTCTGGGATATTCAGAGAACTTTATGTGGAAAAAAGAATAAAACCTGGCCTAGGACAGAATGAGATAGCTATATGCTATATCAATTAAGACATACAAAAGGAAGGAGAGGGAAAGTAAAGAGGAGGAAACATGTTCACTAAGAACATTAGCCACATATCGATTGTTGTGTAACAAATTACTCTAAAATTCAGCAGCTTCAAACATTTATTACTTGCAGCTCTGTGGGTAAAGAACCCAGAAGTACTGTGGCTGAGTCCTTAGGCCACAGTTATGTCAGCGGCGGCTGCAGCCATTTCCAGGCTCAATGAGGGTAATATCTTTTTCTTAGCTCACTTCCTTGGCTGTTGGCAGGCCACAGAAGATCCACTTCCAGGCTTACTCACTGACTGTGGGCCAGAGACATCTATTCCTTGCCATAAGGGCCTCTTCCTGGGGCAGCTCATAGTGTGGCAGCTTGCATCTCCCAGAGCAGCGTGCGAGTGGGTGCATGCACACATGCATGTGGACATATACACAGCAGAAGTCATAGTAACTTCACCTCCAAAGGGGCATCATCCCATTACTTTTGTTATATTCTCTTCCTTAGAAGCAAGCCAGGAGTTCATCCCACTGGCTGACTATCTAGAAGCAGGGGTCACCCAGAAGCTGTTTGTAGGCTGCCTGCTTCAAGGTCCCTACTGCTGACTGTGGAGAGCATTCTAAGGAGATTTGGGACCAACTCACAAAAGCAGGACCAGTTGAATTCATTTACCCATAGAGATTAAGCATTCAACTCATGCCTTTATTTCTTGTTTGTTATTTTAAAAATAGAAGATGAGTTACCTTAGGCTCGTGGCAGTTATTTACTCTAATCAAATATTAATGTGGGTTATTAAACTGTGTTTTATCTAAGTTTACTTTTGAAGATGACCAAAACACATGGGAAATCTTTTTTAAAGTTTAGTATAAAGATTCCACATATGAATATCACATGAACTTTTCATTTTGGTTACATGATATTTTTTTTCAAAGTATTGCTAAAACAGAAACACTCACTTTGCCTTCTGATTGGTCTTTCATCTGTTTGTATGAAATGTTTGTCAGACCAAAGAAAAGAATCCTCATTTTTAACATTTTGCTACTAGGGTGGTTGATATTTTACTCTGGAAGATTCAAGATGGTGAGCATAGTTGGTGGCCCTAAGAGCTCTGCTATTTAAGACAAAGCAGAAATTGTGTGGCTTTAGATTAAAACAGAGAATTTGGGATTAGGGCCCATCTTCAGAGATGTCTGTGAAATGTGATAAAGCTGAGTAGTTGAGAGCATTTCTCACCCCCCACCCCCCCCACCTTTTAAAAGCCGAACCAGGGATTGAACTCAGAGCCTTCACGTTGAGCTACGTCCTCAGCCTTTAAAAAAATGTTTTTATTTTGAGACAAAGTCTCAGTAAGTTGCCTAGGCTGGGCTTGAAGTTGTGATATTCCTCCTGTCTCAGCCTCTCAGAGTGCTGAGATTATAGATGTGCACCACCACACCTGGTTGAAGGCTTCTCAAAAAGGAGAAAAAAATGAAGGGTTGAGACCAGTCAGATCTTGCTTACGGTTATGGATTTGGGAGCAGAGCAATGGGGAAGGCTTAAAAGGATGGTCAGAATTTCATGCACAATGCTTCAGTGTTGCCAAAGTCAGAGGAGAACTGAGAACTGATGCAGAGGTGGTAACAATGCCAAATCCCACAAAAATGTCAAGGGCACAAGGCCAGAGGCAAGGCTGGTGTGTATTCAGTGTTGGTAAGGGGAAGAAACTCTGAAGCCCCTTTAGATTGGAAGGAGTCGTTAAAGTAGGATAATTAATATGTGAATCATATTTTCTTTGACAGCTGGCAACTGCAAGCCAACACATTGTTAGCCTTAATTGTTACAGAATATATGTAAAAGTAATAAGGCTCATGTCTTTCTAAATAGTCTATCATTCATAATGTAAATGACTTTAAGTGATTTTTCTCCCCTAACTTGTGAGATTTTAATTGCATTCTCAAATAATAAAATGACAGTTCATTCAATTTGAAATTCAGATATCCTTGCCTAAGAAATACTCAAAATGTCATAAGATTCAGAAACATATAATTAGGTAAAAAGTGTGTTAATATGTTAAAAATGCACTGAACACCTACTGTGTGCCAGACTCTGCTGGCTGCTGAGAATGCAAAGCCCTAGAAAGCATGATCCCTGGCTTCAGGAAGTCTATTAGGATAAAAAGATAAAAGTTTATAATATAATGTGACAAATGTAAAATGACCTGCAATAAAGAGAAAGTGGGGCTGGGTTGGAGAAGGCCTCCCAGCAGGGTGGAGCATGGATTGGAGTCCTCCCGAGGATGAGCTGGGAGCCCATGGCACAGGGTTTGCTACAACCCCTGCTGGGGAAGCAGGTTCAGTGGGTGAGGGATCAGCTCGTGGGGCCCTTGCTTGCCAAGTATGGTTCTTGTGACTGGCCCATCTCTCTTTCTGGATACTTCATTCCACAGATTGTAATGGAATGTCTTGAGGGTAAAGGAGGACCTGCAGCATTCCAGAGAATCCTGGAGAAAGTAAGAGCCGAGAGCCTGGATGTGCAGACTGTTGTGTCCCTGCTGAGACTGTACCAGGATTCTAATCCTGCAGTAAAAACTGCACTGTCAGGCCCACAGCCAGAAGATGCAGCCCCAGTGCAGCCAAAAGGTAGGAGGGAGTCCTCTCCTCCTGAGTGACCGAGATTGAAGGTTGATTTCAGTGGGGGCTGGGGATGTAGCTCAGTGGTAGAGTGCCTGCCTAGCATACACTATGCCCTGGGTTCCATCCCCAATGCTACCCCCCTCTCTCCCCCCAAAAAGTTGGTTCCAGTGATATGTACCTTCAGTGGCTTAGTTATTAAATGGATTCCACATAGGTTCTAATGTCATTACAGAAGCTGTGTGTTAAATATATACAAGCTAAACATAAGCCTCCATTTCTATGCCCTACTTAACTAGCCTGATACCTTAAATTGGAGAATGCCATCAGTGTTCCCCCCTGCCTTTCAAAACCACATATCCAAAGCAGTGCTTTGGGTGCCCAGGGTGCCCAGGGTGAACTGGTTCACTGACAGCACTTAAGAGGCTGGAGTTTCTCTCATTTGGGTTAGGTACAAAGCAGTGGCCTTGCCAACCAGAAGTTAACCTCTGGCTGGCTCTGAAGCTTTGTGTTTCGACAGATAAATGAAACATTTTTCCTTTCATAGAGTTTAAACAGAATAATAAAGTATTTTCCACTCTAAAAGTGATTCTGCATTCAGGTGCACAGAATAAGCTGAGAATCACTTTACTATTCTGTTAGATCTCTCTTGACAAACCAGGCTGTCATTTTCTTCAAATTGACTAGCTTTTCTTGTGTGTCTCTAATTCTTTCTCCCCCAGGGAGCACAGGGGAGGAAAAGACCTTGTCTGTTCTGTTACTGGAACACAAAGAGGACCTGATACAGTGTGTAACACAGCTGAGACCTATTACGGAGTTCCTAGAAACAGCCAAGGAGGAATTCCTGCCTGGCACCGAGAAAAGGGTAACTGTGTCAAGTATCTCCCCACTCCTCAGAATTGATACAGCAATTTTTTTAGTAAAACCTCTTCTCTGGCACATAGCACTTTTTAGCTTGCAGGATTTTTATACCTACTGCATAGTAATCACCACCAAGTTCAGATTCTTGTTTCATGCCCCTTGTATTTTGTGCAGTATTTCTGAGGGCTGTGCACCTTGTAGTCAGTGTACTGTGGAGTCAGTGTTTGGAGGGACAGATGGGTGGATATAAGATATTCCTGCTCTGACTTCATGAGTTTTTATTATAAACATTTGCCAAGAGTTAAAATGTTTAGGCATGTTTGTAATTATTATGACAGTTTTCCTCTTTATAGAAATGATACCTGGTTAATATGGGAAATCAGCAAAAAGAAAAAAATCAAATCTTACCACTCAGACTCCTGCTAACATTTTAGAGCATGTTCTTCCTACTCTTTGTTTGACTCATCTTGGGATGAAGTTACACAGAACATAGTTTTCTAATTTGGATTTTACATTTAATTTCATTACCTAGAATATGGGATTTTAGCAGCTGTACTATATTCTAATGGATATATCATAATTCATTAATTATTGTGAGACATTCATTTCCACTTTTTGGCTATTACAAATAATACTTCAGAGGACATTCTAATAGGCAAAGTTTTACCTAATTCCCATTTACCTAATTCCTATTTCCTTAGAATAATTTTTAAGAAGTGGAATTTTGGAATAGAGTACAAAAATGTTCACATGTGTGACACACATCGCCAAATTGCCCTTCAGGAAGGTTGTACCAATTTACTCCCCCACCAGCTTGCTACTGAAATCCTCATAAAGCTGCTAGCATGACTTCTCAAGGCAACTAGATAACTATATTTGTTGGTGTTATTGATTTCAACTTTGTGCTAAAAATATTTTTATATCTGAAAGGAAGGAACAAGGATGGAGAACTTTTGTGACATCAGTTCTTAAAGCTGTGGGAAGTGACTTAAATGTTCAGGAGAGAAAATGTTTGGAAATCACTGGTGTAATAGCTGAGCACTGGATTCATGGCGAGGACTGATCTTTTATTAAAAATAGATAAGCACAACCTCTGATTTTAAATTTTTAAGTTTCTTGAACTTCTTAGAGAAAGATAATATACCAAAAAAGAGTAAACAACTGTTTTTCTCCTAAGAGTTCAGATTAAGTGTAATTTCAGGCATTCTAAGTGAATTACTTATAGTGCTAGAAGTACCTGATTCCCTGTTCAGTGATTTCGTTCTATTACTCATTCAAACCTTCTCCTTATTAGTTAGATTGAATGTGTCCTTTGAGCTGTTTCATTATCTTAGTAAAGCAGGACTTAGAGGTAGAGCCAGGTTTAGCCTCATTCTTTGCAGCAAGATCGACCACACTGTCATTTTCCTCTGTCACTTTCAGTTTACTCAATAGTGAAAGCTGAAGCAGAAGAACTTAAATTAGTTACAAACCACGAAAATGCTCCTTAAGAATGAGGTTCCACCAGAGCGACATTAAGCTGTTCTTTCTCATGAAAATTGAAGCAAACTAATGTGGTGGGAGTGTAGAGGTGAATGTTGATCAAGTAGCCGCACAGTGTTTTGACATCACGTGGAACATTAACTGGGCCTTTCAGAACTTTTTCTTTTATGACTTTATTCCTATAGTAGGTGTCTCAGCCTTATTATTTGTAAATAGCTTGAGTCTTGCTGTAAGTGGTCAATAGGAATGTTCTCAGGACATACAAATAATAATTACTATCACTGCCATTTGTTTATTGCTTACTGTGTCCAAGCTGTAGACCTTTTAAACACCACTGAATTTTACCCTTCCAGAAGCTGTATGAAGTAAGGAATTTTACCCTCATTTTAAAGTAAAGATACTGGGACCCAGTCTTCAGATGAAACACATTCTCGTCACTGTGCATATTGCTCCCCAATGATATGAATAACATTGTAGTTTCTTAAAGAGCACATATGTCCTAGGAGTTATGCTAGGCTCCACAAATAGCAACTTCTTCCTTTCTTTCTTCCTTCCTTCGTTTCTTTCTTTCTTTCTTTTTTCTTTCTTTCTTTCTTTCACTCATTGTTTTTTTTGAAACGGTCTCAATATGTAGTTCAGGCTGACCTTGAAGTCACCATGTAGCCCAGGCTGGCCTTGAACTTGTAGCTATCCTCCTGTCTCCTAAGGACTGGGATTATAGTCGTGTGCCACCACACCCAGCTAGCAACTTCATTTTATAGAAATGACTGTGTTCAAGTGTTAGTATGATTATCTTCATTTACAAATGAGGAAAATAAGGTTCAAATAATTAACTTACCCAGGCTCACACAAGAAATAAATAGTAGGACTATTGAAGTCCTACTATAGTAGGTACAAATGAAGTCTGTCTGGTTTTAAAGCCCATCCTTACTCTTAACAATGTCTGGCTGCCTTGTTATGTATCAGATTATTGCTTAGCAACTAAGATATAGAAGTGAAATCAGTATGGTTTTAAAATATAAGCTCTTAAATTTTAAATTATGATTCATTTAGTAGAAATGCATTACATATTAGACCTTAAACAAAGAGAATAACTATGTTCTATATTGACAAGGAATATGACAACTTGGTTTAATATATATATATATATATATATATATATATATATATATATCCTTTTATTT